CTCCCTAGAATCGAATGCTCTGATACCACTTTGATAAGATCCCAACTGGTTCACATGAACAGAACAAGTAAAACAGGAAATAACTCTTGTATTTAACTGGTTAGAAATGGAATTACAAAATGAAAAACACCATCAGCCATTCGAGAGGGCTGTAACTCTCCCAATTGGATAAACCAATACTCAATACTTTGCATGCCCTATCTCCTAGCTTCTACCCTTATTTATAGATCTACTGTCTAACAGGATTCAGTTTTCCCTCCCCCACTTGCCAGTAAATTCTTCTATTCCCTTCTAGAATGAGTGAGGTGTATGGGAGCCTATCACAAACCTCACAAAATATATATGACAGTGGTCAAGGAATTCATGGGCAAATTTTAATGCAAGCATCATGATGAGCAAAGTGAGCATGATCATGAGACATTTGTGCGAGGAGTGTGGATCCCGTTTAACCCAGAGATTATTAAAGACTTTTATAATGTTGAAGAGGGATCCAATCCACCAAAAATAACAGATTGGGAGGAAGTGGCTCAATTCATATACCCTTTGGACAAGCAAAAACTGTAGCAAAAAAGTAATATTGTACAACATAGTGAAATGAAGCATGAGATGCAGTTCTTTCATTATGTCCTCTCAGCTAACATAACTCCAACATCGCATACAACTGAAATTTACCCAACTTAGGATTACTATGTTGTATTGGCTTGCCACATGACACATCTTAAAGTATGGGGCCCCACATCTTTATCACAATTAGAGATATTGCCTTCCATCCAAGAAGTTGAACAAAGCTCCTTTTCCCAAGTCTCATTTCGGCCATATGCAAGAGAGCTCAAGTACCAATGATGCCATGGGAGGTTGAAAAGAAATCCGCACTAGTTTTGTGCCTAACAACAAATAGAAGACCAGAAGCACAAGTTATAGGACACATGAATAAGGCATTAATGAATGCAGAAGATGAATTTGAAAGAGAATGAAGATGAGCACATTCATAGTCAAGAAGAAGCACATGTTGACATGCCAACCACACTTCCACCAAGGATTGATCGTAGGGGAGGGGTCAATTTCAGTCCCATGTTAAGATCCATAAAAATGATTCAACAAGAGCACCATAGCACAATCAGACAGCTGCAGATGGGACAAGAAGAAATATTGATACTCCTAAGATGCCTAAACCAAAATCAAGGCCCACCACCTTCCTTAGATCAATGAAAGTCGAGTAAACTCTTTCCTATTTACTTTTATTGTTTAAATTGGGGACAATGTAAAGGGTGAAATATGTTATGTGCTTTCTTATTTTTCTTATAACATAGTCTGTGTCTTGCATGAAAGTCCAAACATAGTTGTCTATTTGCTTTAGTATGAAAAAAATTTGCATGGTTGTGTGTTACCTTAGCTCGAACAAAGAAATTCATATCCAATGATGATATTGTGCATATCCTTGAGCGAATTTTGGATCGGTCCATTATTTTGTACTTAGCTTTTGAACAATTTAAGCACATAATCATTATTGTTTGCACTTGTGGTTGACTATTAATTGACTTGTGTAGGTCAGCAACCTTATAATCTTTTAAGACTATAGAACATGTTACTACATTAATCACTCCTGTTAGAACCACATCAAACCCTTTTCGTAAAAGTGTAGGGATGATTAAATCCATACAAAATCAAGAACATTACCACTTAATTGTCTTTTAGTTCCTATCGTGGGTCGAAAAAAGTGAAAGATATTGTACTAGCCATGCACGTAGGAAAAAGTTACCTACATTTATAGCATGGAGCTAGTCTCAAGTAATTTGACCCTATTCATGAAAAATTGTTTTGGAGATAATCTATTGGGATAAAAGGCTGCCTACAATGTAGAGTAAAAACTACATTTGAAAACCAGCAAGATCTCAAAAACAAAAGGGACAAGATAAAATAAAAAAAAGAAAAGCACACTCATCAAAGTAGCAAAACAACAAAAGTGCTACATTTGTTCGGCTAAGTCTTGGTCATTGATTAGGAATTGGAAGGTGATTGAGTGTTTGATGAAAATAAGCCATATTTCATTGTTAAATTGCCATTGGGGGTATTGAAAAACAAAGATAGCAACACGAGTGATGAGAGAATATATTGACATTACTGGGATTTGGTTTTGTTTGGGAAAAGAGAATTTGGACGTTGAAATACATGACTTGATTCGAGTAACATAGGTAGAATTGAGAATGTTTAATACACACACACCCACCCACCCACCCAAGAGCTAAATATACGCTATGTGGAGTTCTAAAATAATTTTTGATTCTCGTGTCTCATTAACTTGTTTAAATTTTGTGATAATGATATGCATTTTGAAGAAACATTGAATTGCTTATATCTAGTTGAGTATTATCGTTTAGAGTCTAGTTAATTATCTATTATGTTTTATTCGGGGACGAACAAAGATTCAAGTTTGGGGGTGTTGATTTGTTAGTATTATTGTGAATGTGATACTTAGTTATTTGTATTGTTTTTGGATTATGTTAGGAGAAAAATCGAGATTGGATAAAGAAGGACGGAATTTGGATAAAACATGCAATTTTGGGATCAACTTCTACACTTTAAGAATATGAAGGACTAAAGTGATTTACCTTAAATAATTGTGGACATTGAATCAATAAATTGGAAGAAATTGGACTCCTAATTGAAGGTGGAAATTGGGGAGAAGACCACAGACACGGACGACAGATATATATTTTTCAAATTTTGTTCAATTACGAAATCTATAATTTGTGCAAGGATTTGGACAATTAATCACGTTCTATCAATTTTACCTGAAGATTTACATTATACAAGGAAGAATAACGAAGGACAATTGTTGGGATTAATGTGGCAAAGATCAAAAATAGCTCGGAGTAATTTTATCTCGTTGATTGCAATTAAACCCAGTGATTTTTTTAAACTTTGTTTGTTTAATTCCGACATTTTGAGTGGCTAAGCGTTTTCATGTTAGGATTAACGATGTAACTTAGGGTTTGCTAAATCTTTGTTTGAGTCCAAGACTTTGTACCACTACTATATGTGTTAGTAAAGTATTGTGTGTTTAATAATTCAGTTGCTTGATTGATTGATTTAAGGATAGTACGAAAAATGAGAGGTAAAATATGATTCTAGCTCATACAGTAATTAACATAGGTATTATAAGAAATCGAGAGATAATTATATGCTATGCAATCTATATAGACTTTTTGTAGGTTAAAGCATTCATATATATGTGAATTTACATAGGAAAATTTAGTAAGTTCGAGTATATGAATAGGATTAGTGTTACTCGAGAGAGATTACTAGCTACATTAGGTTAATTTGATTGTTGACATCTATAAAAATGGGCAGAATGAATTGGAATTAGATGAAAGTTAAGCAACCTAAATAAAATCGGAATTCTTGACTATCTAATCTCATAATCTTCTCAATCTTGTTAATTTGATTTTGTTATTTAATTTAGTAAAATTTTAGTTACAAAACACAAATTGATTTGATAATTGGTCACAATTTGAAATTAAATTGAGGCTAGGTTAGTTGAAAAATTGATAGTAATTAGTAGTTTATATGGGACGATACTTGGACTTAAAAATCTATTTTACTACTTGTCACGATCTACACACATTCGGAATCACATGAACATCTCTCTAGCAACAAAACACACCTAATCATAGCACTTGAATTAAAGGACAATTAGAAGCCCCATTGGAACATAAAAAATAAAGGCATCGACTAGGCCTCCGAAATAGACGTCATTTCAAATGTGCATTTTGATACAATCAAATCATTATGATCTTTCGTGCAAACTCATGCGCATGTACATAATAAATTGCATGACAAGTATTACAAAGTACAAAATAAAAAAAATATTGAAAATTGAACTTAATCATACTTTCAGCATAATGACGAAAGTGTCAATTCATAAGATTAACAAAAAAGTTCCTAAAAATCGCTTGTAAATAGGGTCATTAATAAAATGATAAAATAGTTAAAAATAAAAGAGTTCAATAGCTAAAAAAATGAAGAAGAATCTTAGAGAATCAATCTTCCACTCTAAAAAAGGGTCTCGGATCAAAGCAAAAAATAAGAGTTGGCGCTCTTAGAAATCTTAGGTAGTGTTCTTTTTATGTTTTAGTTTTGTATTTTGAGTTTTGAATTCATTTTGTATTTTGTGTGTCTGTTTTGAAGTTGTTGAAAATGCGTTCTTTTTCTCATTCTGAAAAATTGTTTCTGAAAACAAAAAAAATTGGAAAACGCATTTATTTTGAAATTTTGAGAATATTTTTTTTATAATATTTTATTCAAGAAATCTGATTATTCAATAAATTTTAATAATCATTTGAATGCTAATTATTTCACTTTTTATGACCATATGAATGCTTAAAGACGTGTGAGTATAGTCATTTTGGCAAATTCTCCATCTCGGTCAGGATTATAGTTTTTTTATCTTTTTTTCTAGTTAAAAATTTCAAACACAAGCTTGTTAGCAGAGTGATTGAGGTGCTATGCCTTTACCTTAACTTACAAAGTTGAAACCAAATTTGATCGGTTCCATTGCACCTTAGTTTAAAAAATAAAATTGGATAACATGACACCCTAAGTCATGCATTTATTCAAATACAAACGAACAAAACCATAGATAACTTGACTTGATAACTTGACGTGATTCGATTGGCACGAGCATACCAACCCGACTTGACCCACTACTATCACATTAGCCATCCAAGAACTGAGATAAAAACAAACATATGATGTCACCAAATTTCAAAACCTAAAGGCCAGCATAACAGCTCAAATGCAGACCAGTTGATATTGCAAAATATGAATACTGGGATAATCACGAAATTTTGGGCTCACTTGCAATCTGGCACAGATTATGCAACACACAACACGCGACAATTGTTTGTGGCGCATGGCCTCGTCCACGGTATTCCTCCCTTTCATCAATGACTCATCAAATGCATTTTGTGTTGGATCATCATTTCTTTGAGACAAAGCTCCACATACGACAAAACCTCCCACTCCAATGGGAATAATGGTAGCTTCAGTTCCACCAGAAATCATCAAATCAGCATCAACATTACCAGCCAACTGACCAGTCGGATTCGGAACCGGACAAACAAACCCCATCTGATGGCACCAATACCATATCGTACTCCTTGTCAATCATCCTCTCCTTTCCTCCCTCCTTGTAAAGTCCTCAGTTATCAAAGATAGTGCTCTTTCCATTGTTGATCCCCCTGATAAACATTAAATGAAGCTGAAATCAGTATCATAAAAGGATATTCAAGTAGCAAATAAAGAATGAAGGATCAAGTTGACGAAAGAAGTCAAACATATTTGTTCTAATTTCTAAAGAGAAGTATCTTTTGCAAAATAAGTCATCTAGAAGTTCATCTAGAAGTTGATCTATCTAGAAGTACCTTTTAAATAAATTGAGGCCAAACATAAGTTAAATAACATTGCACAGGACTGAGTATTGTATCCAATATAATCCAAACTAAAACCAAACATGCTATTACCATGCTACAAATACCATCATGATTAGGATAATTGTAACACATGTTTTAGAAACACGAGTCTCATAGGGTCAAGTGAAGAATAAGTACTATCTACCTAATACCATGGCCTATTACTATCGAATATATTTTTAATTCTAAACTCCTTATCCAGTGTGGCAAACGCAACCCAAATGTTTAGCAAAGCAAAGTAAAGCAAGAAACATATCATGTGCTTCTAATAGCAACAGATTCATAACAAAACCCAAAAACCAGGCAAGCTAAAGGAGGACATACCTAGGGTCGAAGTCAATGGCTAATTGGATCAAAGGACCAACGGATGCCCCTTCAAAGAGTGCAGTTGCCATAAGAAGTGAAACCCTTTTTTCTGTTCATAATTGAGACAATTACAATAAATTAAAATCTAAATGATACTGTATATTCGAAAAATAAACTAGGAAACAAGAAAAGAAATACCTCTTGGTAAGGACGAGTAGAGAGTAGCCTAATGATGCTACCCATACATCCAATGGTTGTGAAGAATCCACCAACATTCCAAACAAAGTGAAGATAAGATCCAACCGCTGATGAAAGTAATGCACAGCATAACAACATATAAACCTACAACCAGGCAATCCAATATATAACTTTCCCTCTGAATTGTAAACCCAAATTTCCAGTAATCACATGTACTGACCATAATTTTCAAATTAACAAAGATTAGATGTCACAAAAGAAACATAGATACTGCGAATAATGAGAAAATAAGATCAAATATCTACAAATAAACCAAATTAAAGATTTAAGAAATCAATTCAATCAATAAACAGGGACACCATTATATTCCAATAGCTTAAGCCGAAAGGGGGTGAAAATCAGAAGGGCAAAAATTATTCAATTCTAGACATCAAACTATCGATTATTTCCAAAAATCTAAAAGAATAGGTTCGAGAAACTGATAAAAGAAACCTGCTTGAGATAAGTCTAAACAGTAGGGAAAATCTGACGGAAATTCTTGAGAGAGTCGTAACTCCATCTGTTCCGAGAGGTAGATTGCGATTCAAAGAACAAAGTGAACAATTTCATTATTTCTTTTTTAATCTCATGCAAATTGAAATTTCAGGGTGGAACTCTAAAAGAGACGTTGAAGATTCAATCTATAAATGCAGTTGAGATTCAGTACTTCGGCTATTTCCCGGAACCAAAAATCGAAAAAACCAAAAATCCCCAAACTTGCAGATTGAAAATAGAGAGAACTTCAGCTTCGCCATGCCACGAACGACTCCAATAGGTCGCTGACATCGAAGAGAGAGTTGGTAGAGACGGGCCAAACCACAGCAGGAAGAGGATGGATTGGAAGAAGAGTGAAAAAATTGGAAATTCTGGTAGTGGAGGTGTTACTGTATTGAAAATGGCCATTTCCCGTCTTTTGCAATTTTTCCCTGTTCAAATTTTTTTTATCATTTTCAAAAATGCGTTTTCAAAAATAGGAAAGAGAACGTATTTTCATTATTTTGGAAAACCGAAAACAGAAAACGACTAAAAACGGCCAAAGAGAACGGCCTCTTACATTCTCCAATTAATAGTCCTTTTCAATCCAAAATCTCATTGGGAAATTTGTTCTTTCTTCCTTTAAATTGAAAGCTCGCATAATACCATGAAAAAACTCCAAAAAGGACAAAATCCAATCAAAATTATAGTAAAATCACTATATTCTGGCATTAAAAATAATTCTTACTTTTTAATGTTAACATGAAATGTTATATATCTTCTCCATGAAACTCTGGTGGTTGATCCGCTCTCAGAGATCTCTTTGGGCCCAGTTCTTACGGAGCAAGTATTGTATGGGGGACACATCGCAGCAGTTCCCTACTCAACTTCTCCTATCTGGAAGTGGCTAAAATTAGTTGGTCCCTGGACAGAGGCACACATTGCTTGGCACCTTGGAGCAGGTCATATTTTCTTTTGGCATGATTGCTGTATGGGTGAGACCAAATTGGCATCTCTATTCCCACACAGACATCATACATCTGTGAGGGTGCAGGATTTCTATGAAGATACTGGGTAGGATATTGAACGTTTATTACAGGTTCTCCCTCATCTTATGGAGGAACAGATAGGGGCTATATCTTTATGTACAGATGCACCAGATTGAATTTTTCGGCAGAATACATCAGATGGTAGCTTCGATATCAAGTCAGCATGGTAGTTTGTATGTTTGGGGTGCCAGTATCAGGATTCGTACCGGTTACTATGCTCTATTTTGCTTGCCACTGTTTCATTTTTCTGTTGGAGACTATAGCATGGCCTCATTCCAATAAATGTGGTTATTCAGGGAAGGATTGGATGCTAGTTGGCCTCTAGCTGCCAGTGTTGTTCCGAGGCTGAGACTGTCAGTCATATTTTCACTGGCAATAGCATCTCTAATCAAGTATGGCAACATTTTGAGGATATTTTTCAGATACCTATGAATTCAGGAAAGAGAGTTAGATAGAGGTTCCAGAGATGGAGGTATTCTAGACAGTATGTTCATTGTAGACATATTCGCATTATCATTCCTCTATTGATATTTTGGTATCTATAGACTGCGAGAAATGATGCAAAACATATGGAGATTCGCATGGTAGCCAAACGTATCATTTGGAGGGTTTATCACATCATCTATTTTCTTCATATGGGAGGACTGTTACGAGCGGTGCATTAGCGAGGAAATTTGACACTTGCACCAATATTTGGTATTTTTATGGACCCCTCTTCCCCATCTCCCCCTATTTTGGTTTGGTGGCGCACTCCATCAATCTGTTTTGTCAAGATCAATACTGATGGATGCGTCAAGGATGGTTATGCGAGTGGGGAAGGCATCATCAGAGATCACACGGGACACTGTATCAGGCCTTTCTCAACTTTGTATAGATTATACATGATATTAGATTCTACACTGTATCTGTGATATTCATGATGGCATTTTACTAGCTCAAGGACTGGGTTATTCAGCAATTTAGGTTGAGTCAGATTCTACATTGGCTATTCACTGTATCACTACAAGAGAAAACCATAGGCTATTCAAGGCACACTTAGATGAATCAGACATATTCTTAGACAGAGATACTGTCTCCCACATTTATAAAGAAGGAAATCAGATTACAGACGCTCTTGCTACTGAGGGTTGGGATCGACGATATCAGGTATATGGACCACTTGACCTATCACGACATATTATGGCACTAGTACAAGTTGACAGACATGGATTGCCGAGTATCAGAGTTTGAATTTCATTTTAACTTTCAACACTTATTTTTGGTCTTTTTTTACATTAATTCTTATTGTAAAAGAAGTAGTACTTCCTTGTTTACTACTTTATCCTTCGTTAATTACTTTCATTTTAAGGTAAGTAGTACTTCCTCATTTACTGCTCTAATTATTTTCATGTAACCACGGTATTCCTCAACCACAAGTGAGGGCATATAAATAAATTCTCGGAGGTACCACCATCCTTTAATTAAAAAAAATCAAATCAAAATTATAGTAAAATTGCTGTATTCCGGCATTAAAAATAATTCTTATTTTTTAAGGTTAACATGAAATGTTATATATCAAATCTATGCATCCACTATGCCACATAAAAGTATAATGTTACAAATATTTATGTTTTGTAGAGCTAATATAAACCCCTTGAAACGAATATTAAATAAAAAATGACTTATTGACGCAATACTGACATCGTATGGACCTATTGTTAAATTTCCCAGCTTTTTCAAATTGGATAAAAATCCCTCTATATAATATTTGAGGTGCGAAAGACCTATTTTTGTTAATAAAGCCTTGTAAAATGATGAATATACCTCCATGTTTAAATAAAACAAAAATAAAAGAAGAAAGAAAATAAAGAAATAATATTCAACTGCAGTCCTAAATTTTCAAAAACAGTGAAAACGAGTCCCGAATAAATAATTAAAAAATAAAAAGAATAAATCCATTTCTTACCCCTACCACCATCATCACCACCTTCAAAGACTATTGGTATCATTAGGTCCCAAACCAAGTCTGAAGGTAGGGAGTAATAAACAAAGTTTAAACTGTCACTGTGTATTCCAATTTCTCCATTTCAACATCATTACTTTGGAATTAATTTTTCATTCATTCGACAATAGTTTTTAACATCCAAACATACCAAACTCATCATTCACCGAGTAGAACATGTTCAACTTTTTTCCTGCTAAAAATGAATAATGGGACCCGTAAAAATATTTTAATCATTCTTTATTTAACTTATTTCTAATACCTAGTTACAATATTTGACTCGCAAATTTAATCAATGAAAGTCTTCCTTTATTAGTCCGAAAAATTCTTTTGGTACTCAAGTCATTAATAAAACGATGGATTATCTATAGATGGAAACAATTTCAAATACTTACATGTCCAATCAAATGGACATTGTTGTCCTCGATATAACAACCATTCTTCCTGTCACATATGATCTCAAATAGTAATACCTCAAAACCAAAAAATCCGATTTTATTGAGAACAGTCCTTGCATTGCGTGTTATGGCTACATATATGACCATAGTAATCATAAAGTTTAGTACGTTGAGACTCAATCTTCAATTCAACCTGTTTTGGTTATGGAGTTAA